TATATATATATATATATATATATATATATATATATATATATATATATATATATATATATATATATATATATATATATATATATATATATATATATATATATATATAGGTAGTTGTAAAAATTCGAAACTGAATAGCAAGCAGAGTTAAAAATATCCAGTGTCGGATAACGTGGTAAATATTTAATCAGTGGACGTCAACAAGAAATTAACCATTTGAAGCTACCACAATTCACCTGTTCTAGAGCCTAAACATAATATTATGAGAGTTCCGTTGAGATTTGCTTTCAGGAGATTTTGTGTTCAGTAAATTTTAATGATTCTGCAGGTTCTGAAATTAGCATATTTCAGTTTCATCTGTCCAGGAATCTATGATACCTGTCAGATCTACAGATACAAGTAATATTTTGTTTCTTTTTCTTTTTTTTTACGGCTAATTCGAATAGGACTGTAGGACTATTTCGATTATTTGAACGACATAACAGCTTTCCTTCCACTTCACTAAAATATCAAAGTAGAAAATTCAGGTACTCTAACTTCAAAAACACAGTAACTCGCGAAGAAAGGGAGTCCGCTTTCCTGCACAACAAAAATTGATTTAAAAACAAAACCTACTGATATTTTAAAACGAGTTCAACTGCACGGTCGACTTTTTCATATTCATGTTCAATAAATTTCGAAAAAATGCGGTTGCGTCCTTCTTCACCACAAGACCTCAATAAGGATGACAAAACCTGCAAAATTTTGCATCTTGTTTTTGCAATAACAAATCGACAAACACATACACACCCACAAAAACAACCATTCATCACAATTTGAATAAAAAGTATAGGACAATACTTCACCGAACAAACATGTTCTTCGTGTTCATCTGGTGTTGAATCTTTTCTTTTCTGCTTTGATGGAGTTCTCATAAACAGCGGAAAAATAGTTCGCAAACCTCAAAATGCTTTTATAAAAACTTTTAAGAAAAGAATTAACTTCAGGAAGTATGACTTGAAAAAAGATTTACTAGGCGAAGTCATTTAATCGGTCCCTCAAATCGTTCTCGGTTTGAAACAGTCATTTCCTCCTAACCAGTGACCAATGTAAACCAACTACTATCATTAACAAGTCTTAAAGGTTCACCAAGAATATCGATGAACTTGACACAGTTCGATTTTCCTTCTACACCATTTGTAGCATAATCCAAAACTTTTAATGCACTTTCTCGTGACTGCTTACGTTCCCTAAAAAAGGTTAGAGGTTTCTTAAGATTTAGGTAAAAGTAAAACGTGAGAATCAAACAGTTTTGCAAATTTACAGAAAAAGTAGGAATATAAGGATTATCCATAAATTAGTACCTAAGCATAAGATTCATTAACTGAAGGCCTTCACCGTCCAAAAATTTCTGTCTGTTTGGTGCATACATAAGTGCAGCGCACACGGCATTAAACAAGTTCTCCATATGTTCCCGTTCATCTGCACTCCCAGGATCATGACGCTTGTAAGTGGCCAAAGCCTAAAATGTATTAACTGCACTAAAAAAATTCAAATCTATTATAAAGGGTAGAACTAACATCGAGATTCTGTCGACGAGCATTTTACGGAAGCCTTTTCTGAATTCACAGTACTTCTGGAACCGTAATGTAACAAAAACGTACACGAAGCAGTAAATCGAAGCCATCAACTTTTTCCGTTAATCGTTTTCTAGCTAATTCAGTTGACTGCAGAAGCAAAGAAAGTAATTCGCTAGCAAACATCTTATTAGCATCCAAAGCTCCTCGTTGAGTCGCACGACGAAGAAGCCAAGCAAACAAACCCTGTTCGACACAAATATCAGCAAATGGTGGTCGGAAATCGAGCACCTGCAAAAAGAGAATTTTAATTCTACGCCAGTAAGCACAATTAAATATTAAATTCCTCATCTATTGAAGTTGTTAAGTCCTTCACAATCAATACCTATAATACTATTATTTTATGGGAAATCAGAATTTTGAATCACCATTTCTCTTTACCACTTTTCTTCACCATTTCCCGAAAATTAAATCAGCCTTGGTTCGAAAATGCACTAACTTGTAAAGTGAAAGTTAATAAATATCTAAAACCTACATTTTCTACAACCGATAATGCATTATGAATTGCATCGGCTTCATCTTTTATTGTTTCATCCAAACGTTCAATACTCTGCTGTACCAATGTTTCAATCAGCTGATCGGCAACCAACACATCAATTAGTTTCGCTGCAGCACTTTCACCTTCATTCAACGTGTCAACATCTGTTAATTCCTTCAAATAAAAAAAGTTGACAGAGTTCCATAAGCATTGAAAGAAGTTTTTCTGTGATTTGAAATCTTGCAAATACTTATGCCCTCAGTTTCAATTAATTGATATCGCATTGCACTATAATTTATTATTGTTGGTTAAAAATCCCCGCACATTTCGTGCACCAATACCTGCAAAAGATCGATGACAGCGGCAACAACGTCAGAGTTTTCGTGAGCTAATAACTGCAAAAGAGTTGTTGTTGCACCAATATCAATAAGCAATTCGTACAAATCGGGTTGCGTTGCCAAGGCATGCATTTCCTTAAATAGCGACGCATAATTCATAAGCGGTATAGAAAGAAAAATATTGTAAAAATGAATATGAACCTGTATCGCTTCATTTAATTCAATTTCGCTATCCATGAATTTTGCTGGTTCATCGCCATATTTGATGCGCATTTCTCGATTTCTCAGACATCGTTTCTCCAGCTAAAAAATGTAGAAATAACTAATACAACGGAAACAACCAAAATTACGGGAAATAGCATTTCGAGGGGTACAAATGCACCGAAATTGGACCTGCATAACAATTCGTTTAACAGCTGCTTCATCAACAACCACTGTCTGTGATTCATCCCGCTCCAATGCAGCCAGAATATCTTCCGGTGCGGTGGTTGCTGTAGATATATTTGCAATATCAATACGAGGTCGCTTCAACTGCAGCTTAAAAAAGTAGCACTGTTGTTAACCAATATATACCACCCAGCACTCAAGATAACATAGTTGAACAAATGTTTTTAAGCTGCAGTTTCTATTCTTGGGACAGCACGATAGATAAATGAAACCCCCCCCCCCACCCCTCCAAAAAAAAAGGAACTTCCCATTACCTCGGTCGATGTTCGCAAGATCTCCGTCACATCGATGGAAGACATTTTGCTACAAAAAAAAAAAAATGTACAAGTATATTTTTTTGAATCACATTCCATGAAGTTAGCATAATTCTCTTTTATCAATCTAAGTAATTGGGAGCTTTACATGGAGCACCACTGAATTCTTTCATACCGCCAGAAAACCATATTTCAAACACTAGTTCACAGAAAGATTATTCTCTAAAAAATTTCTCTTATTTCTCGGACCGTTCCTTTGATACCGGTGTTCATTCAGGTGACCCTCAGAACACTAGAAGTCACAATAATGGAGGTAGCTGATCTCGAGATAAAACATGCATAGTTTAATGGAAGAAATGTGCAATTATATCATTTATTTAAAGAAATGCCAACTATATCAGTTATTAAAACATCGAGATCGAAAACATGCAATAAGTTTCAGATACCAATAAATTAAAGAAGATTTAACATTTTGCGCTAATACCAATGATAAAAAAATAAGAATTACAATTGCTCATAATAGCAAAGAACAGATGTCGAAAAAAGCCATGAATAAAAACATGTTGGATGTTCCAATTACACTCAATTTCTTTCCATCTGGAGGCATTTTTTGAGGGTGTTTGTTATAAAACCATAAACCTGTGCAAACAGTGTTTTAAAAACTCAAATACGAATGATTACTATGGTCAATAAATATTTAAATATCAACAAATTACATTTAACATTTCAGCAACTGAACGGCTGACTTTTACGAAGTACTGCTCATTACCACTAATATTCCACTTTGTTTCTGAAAGTAAATTCAGCAGTTCCAAGCGCTTATTTCTTTCCGCTTCACTGCTGCTATCACATTCGGAGACTAAACATTCATAAAGCTGTTCCGCTGCATTACGACGCATTATGGGATAACGGGATCGCAAGGTGCGAACAACCTGAAGAATATTAAATAATTTTCGAACACTATAGAACTAGGTTCGTGGCAAAGAACTCGTAAATGAATGAGTTCAAATAAAATTTGTCTAAATACTGTGCAAGGAATAAAAGTGAAATTTTACAATAAATTTTGAACTTTACAATAATCGACGAAAAAAAAACTTGCCAACGAAGCAGATTTCTGCCACACTAGACTAGATGAACTGAAATGCAAGAAATGGCATAATACTGAAATACATATCCTGACCTTTTGTGCACTTCCTTTAACTGTCGCCTCCTGTAAAATTAATATTTCATTAAAATACACTGGTGCTACTATAAACCACCGAAAACAGCAAAAATTCCAGACAACCCATTTTGTAAAGTTAAGAGCTAGCATTTTTGTCGTACTAGATTAATCAATAAGCTTTCGATCTATTAAGCAAACCAGAAAACAGAAACATGAATAAAATAATTATTAATAAACCATTTCACAACATTTTAACTTGTGATGTAATATCTTCGAGGAATCAAAAAAAAAAAACTTCCGAGTGAAAGTCAAACTAAGTAGAAATAATCGTCAAAAATTTGTAAAAGTATAAGATAAACGTATACAATCGCGACACGATCCACAATTTTCCGAAGAGAAGGTGAGGAATCCGGATCTGCTTCAAAACATTCTAGAAGCTGTGCTGATAAAATCTGTTCTAATGTGCGAAACAGAGGTTGAGTTACACGCAGTAAGTCAGCATTATTGATTAAAATGGATGCAAAGCATTGAAGAAAAATTTCCAGTTCCTGTAAATTTGAAATATTTTTCCCTTTTTAATATAAATATTTGCTTAAGAACATTTTGTTTAAAAAGTGCACCATAGCACAGTTGTTCATAATGCTAAATTTATCATATTGCACTATTAACTAACTTGTCGTGATCCACGAATATCAGAAATCACCGAAAGCAAAGCATCAGACGCGCCTCGCATCGTAGACTCCGTAACACCGCCTAAATTTCAAAAAAGGAGAACGAACACTCCTATGGCAATTTTGGAATCAAAGAAAAAGCTCCAAGAATAGCACTGCCCATAATTTGGCTTAAATATTTACCAGCAGATATAATAAATCCACTTAAGGCGGAATATCTGTAATAAGGACTCCTCAACAGCAAAGCTAATCGTTTGAAGCAAGATGGCGATCTCCAATCCATATTCGAACCATTAACCAAATAAATTTTTCTCAGAATTTCTTCTTCCTGAATACCTTCTAGCCCTGACTGCAAGATTTTCTTCATTACCAAAGCAGCGCACTGAAAATAAGAGAGGTCGGATAATTGCGAAACCAAAAATACTTTTAAGGTCCATCATTAATTACGAATCCTTGTCGTAAATAACGACGATAGTTTTTAATATGATACACAGCAATACAGAGTGCGAAACCTTATATATTCTGGGAGAACTACCTCACGAGTTGCATCAATTTTCTCGATAGATTGCTGAATTATTTTACAAATTGCTTCAGAAATACGACCAACAACATTCGAACAATTTTGTGCAAGAGGCAGAATAACTGCAAGCGCCCTCATCGCTTCCTCACGCAAAATTCTTCCAACATCACCCCTTTTATCCATTGTATAATCGTCCAAAGAATTGATGAGACTAAAACATTTTAGTTATAATAAGATATAAGCAAGACAGCTAATGGTGTAACATTATATATATATATATATATATATATATCACTAGTAAAATGTGCTTTACAAAATCGAAATCTGATGACCAACCAATCAAGGAGTTCAGCAATGTTGCCCACCGATTCAACCCCAATTGAATCGACAATGCACGTAATAGCTTCCACACAAGAGCGTCGCCCATAAGCCCAGGTTGCATCCAATGCACTAGATCTAGAAAACATACATAATCTAAATTACTTAGGTTACTTTTCATACTAATTAATTTAAAAAACAATGGGACGAAATAGAATAATTAATGCGAAGTAAGACGAAAATGCTAACCCACTGATTGTAAACATAAGTGTACGAATTATTTCAGCAGCGAAAGAATCGGATGACGTTGAGAGCAACAACACTTCACTTGGAATTACACTCAGAAGAGCTGCTGTCCCTTCTCTATCCGATTCCACTTTGGCAGTAACTACCTGTAAGCGTGAGTCAAATCCCACTATTATTATTATTCTTAAATATGTACAAAGTTAAAAGACATATTAATTTGACTTAGATCTTGAGACATCCACATTCAAAGCTGGATATAATTTTTTTTCACAACCAACTCCGACAAGCACACTTCAATAACAAAATAAACACTACAAGAAATAATATACTATCTCCAAACCTGATATTCTGAAGAAAATTTATTAAATATTAAAACTAACATCAATATTGCAATTGCTTCACCAATATTAAAAACAAAAGTTTTTAATAAACCTCGTACCTGCGGCAAATAAATTTGACGAATTCGAAGCATCAAAAATTCGGCGCTTGAGTTGTCGATGTAAAGTTTGAAGAAAGCTGCTCCTGCCTGACATGCTCCTTTTCTAATATCTCCATTTTCGTCACAAAAGTTCAGTTCCAAACAACAAAGCCAATCATCAATCTGAAAAAACAAAAAGTTGGAACATATATTTTCTTTGTGAAAATCACGGCTATTGATTGTTTCAATGACTTTTTCTTCATCTTGATGACACTAACTAACAGACTCACATTCAAACAGTCGGACGTTTGTTTCGGGTCATCAAGTTCTGAAATCTACAACATGTCAAATATTTCAATACAGCAGCTGCTATCATAGCGGATATTACAAAAACGAACTGGTATTTGATTAGTCGTAATTAACAAATGTATACTTTTAAAATCTCTTTCGGTATCACAGATGATAATGACTTGATGAAAATGTTCATAGCTCGTCGCATTAATGTAGAACTAAGTGAACGGGTTCTTTTCTTGCACATAGGGTAGACTATACTGGGTATTTGCGCAACGTTTTCGTACAACTCCTTATCCAACAGCGTCCCACACTTTTTCAAACCTGATAAAGTGGATGCCAGTGCAACAACACCTCCATGTCGCACAATCAGTGACTCGCTACTGACCAGTGGCATTAATTTTTTAAGAACCTACAAAGAGTTTATTTTCTGGACTTTTCGTAAAATAACTGCTTGTTTTGTAAGGCAATTGAAAATTAAAAGTTCCTATGTAAAGAATATGAAAAGAAATTATGATACCTGAGCGGAAACAAAACCTGGGTCAAAAGCACAAAGACGTTCGAGTGCTTTCGCAGATAACAAGCGAATTTCTTCATCCCAATGAATTATCTATTAAGGAAGGAATAATAAAGACAGAAAACCAATGTAAAATACTTCAACAGTTGAAAAAGATCACGAAAACTATTCAGTAAAATATTAAAAATGTGTGCCAGCTTTTATGGACTAATTTAGCAATAGTTTTTCTCACGAAAATCCTCGTATATAATCATCTTTCTTATCCTATATAATTTCTGATAAACTAACTTCTTGTAATTTACTGTGATTATATTCTCTCAAAAATTACAAATGAAACCTTGAAAGACATGAGGTGCTCGATAATCGCCCGCGTGTACCTCGAATATTTTGCTATTTGACATGAGATCTCTAAATAAGATTTACAACGTTGTCCAACAGCAAAATAATCAATTTTCGTCAATATCTCGATGCCATTTGAGAATGCACCTTGCCGACCAACAATTTCTTGAAATGCTGCACTGGCAGCTCTGAAAACAGCTGCACGGTGCTTATAAAAAATAATACCAGTCTTACGATATTTTCCTTTTGTTCGAATCTTTCTAAACATACTTTACAATACCTTAAAAAAAGTCACACAAACGTTTACTTAGGCATAATTTCATGCTTAATTAAGCCACACATCTAACCAAATATTTCATACGGTGCATGCCAATATGCAAAAGCTAGCAAAGTTTGGATTATAAGTCAGTAAACGAATGTAAAGTAATTACCGTCTTACGTTAACTTCTCTGTCAAATAAAGCTACACAAACAAGGCATGTTGTAATCTGTTCAACATATTTTTTTAAATCCACTGGACGAAAACCTCGAGCCAATGACCAACATATATAACAAGCTGCATCTCGAACACTAGCTCCCAAGGCATGATGTCCTTGCGGTTCTTCAAATATTAAGGCCTGGAAATGCAGGAAATGAAAAAAGACAACCAAAGAAAAACAGAATACGCTAAATAAAATATATGTTCCAATCTTTTAAGCCATATATGAATACATATAACTAAATTTCAATCAAACAGAAGTCTAAAATCACATTAAAGAAAAAGTGCTTCTAAAAATGAATGATGCCCAGATATATGTGATATATTTATGCATAAACAACTAACATTTAGGAGAATCTTTACAATATCCGGAAGTCTTTCTAGGGGCAAAAAACCCCGCCTTGAGAGTTCAGCAACTGCCAAACAACCACCATGCCAGGCGGCATTCCCAGAGTGCAAATTGAAATTAAATTTAATGATATTGCAAAGTATATCATTTGCAAGATATTTCGGCAAACGAGATAAAACCCGTCCAATACCTTTCGCACCAGCCCAACGTATATCGGTATCCCGATCACGCATTGCTTCTAGAATTGTATTAAGAACCACTTCCAGCTGTAAATATTAATTTGTAATTGGTCATATTCTTGATTACAATAATGAAATTGCCTCCCACTGCATACTTCTTCCTTTCGATCTCTGTAACTTATTTATGCAAGTAGAAAGCAAGTTGTACGTTAGATTTCCCAAACTTGCATCTTGCATAAAATATAAGTTTGATATCACTCGCAAACAACATGTTTCTATCTTAACCTTATTATGCTCTCTTCCATCCTAATAACAAATCATCTGGAAGTAAAGCAAAATAATATTGAAAGTAATAATAACCTCGGCATATGGGACTTCATAAACTTCGTCCGTAAAAGTCTCTTCCTCTAAAGCACTTAATTCTCGATATTTTGCAAAACCATTGCTTTCCAAATTCAGATTATGGTTCCCATTATCGTAGCGCCACTCTGCAATCTTAAACACAAAAACTAAGAGCGATTCACTACAAGAAAAAAAAAACGAAAAAATGAATGGAGATCGAAAGATTCAAATACTTACCCTTGACTTAAAAAATATCATTCCCAATCTCTGAACAATTTTGACCGTTAACTTTTTTACAGTGAAATCGGAGTCTTCAAGGTGACCTAGTCGATGCAAGGCCTTTAACACTTGATTTGCGACAGTCAGTAAGTCTTCACGTTCTCCCTAGAAAAATAAAGCAGAACAACACAGGCGATCAAAAAGTTTACATCCAAAAATCTGTAGTATGTAGCTGGCGTTTCACTGTATGAATACAAACATTTCATATTTTCCATGATATTATCCAAAGTTCCTTGACCGTTTCACTTCATTCTCCATTACCTAATGAATTTATGAGAAACAACTAGCAGTTGCATTTTACCTTTTTAAGAATTGCTGCAAGCAAACGGAGACTACCAACGAGTTCATTGTCAATTGACCATTTACCTTCACAATTTTCAATTGCCGAAATACATGGATCTACCAATTTTTTCAAATATTTCTTGCGCGCATCTTCACGAGACACTACCAACGAAAGTAACAAAGCAGCAGAATGCTGTAAAGTTTCCACTGCTTCGAAATTCAGTCAGTCAACAAAAGTTTTAAGAATTTAAAAAGAAAGACGAGACAACGAATTCACATTCTCTATAGTATAAATTTAAAAAATCGAAATCACTGATTCTTTTCTGAAGCAATCTTAATTTCTAAAAAATTCTAATCATACCTGACACCTATCAGTATTTATATACAGATATGGCAATACAACGGAGACTATCCTTTCCAAAACATTACGACCACTCTTGCTTTCAAGTTTGCTCAAATCAAATGGATTCTTGCATAAGATCACCATCCAAAGAAGGAGTATATACCGGGAATCCATATCCACTGTAGAATCAACATATCGTTCTAGTGAAGAAAGTACTTTCTCCATATATTTCATCTTGAAAAACAAAAACATTATGGAGTTTTCCTTTAAAAATAATCGGATTTTGCACAAATCTGCGTTACTCTTTTAGAGATGGTTGGAATTATATAAATAAAATATGCTCATAGAAAAGCAGGAATAAACAAATAATAGAAGAAAATTCAAACCTCGAACAATAAAAACGATCCTAAAAACTCTAAGAAAATATTTTTTATAATTTGAAGTGATAAAAAGTTTCATGATTTCAGAAAAATGATGGTAATTTTTCAAATGTAATCGTTATATACACTTACTTCGTGAGGTAGCAATGAAAGGAACACCTTGTATCCCCTAACTTTTGATATATGTGCAAGCAATGCAAATGCCACATTTGATACATCATCGAATCTTCTATAAATATTCGAAATATGAAAAAAATATTTTAGTGTTTATGTCCATATGATATAAATACTAACATACAATTCTAGGACTAAATAAGTAAAAAATGGCGTTATTTATGTCTTCCATAGCATAACAAGAATCAGTTGGAGAACTGAAGGCAATAAAAATACTATTCAGATCTCATAAAAACAAACGAAAGAATTTTACTTCGTTTGTCCACCGTCAAGAAATTTGATATATGTTAGTAACTTATTCATCATGATTGCCATAAAAGGATCAAGCAAACTGGACTGTTCTTGGTATAGATCAAGCAGATATCGAAATCTGAAGAATGGGTTCATAAACAGACATATTTCAAGCAAAATTTATGCAGAATAGTACTAGATAGGTGAGAGAAACCCAGGTAATTCTGAAATTCGTCGTTGCCCTTACTCTGGACATGTAAATGACTTGTCAAACCCTCAAGTTCCTGATAACAATTTCGTATGTTGTGCTTCACTGTAATCTAAGCACCGTGATATAATCATTACTATAGGAAAATTTCCATTTTTAAAAGCAGTGTTACAAAGAAATTTGTGACTACGTTTGACATCAGTAATTGAAAAGGTTCATAGAATCAGGAGGCATATCCTGTAAATTAACAACGGCAAACAGGAACAGAAGCAGCTCACCTCACAGACCTCACATACGGGATAATCCACATGTGATAAGATGTATGGTTAAAGATAACCTTTCAGATCGGTTTTCTACATCATGCTGACTGCTTGCAAACAAAGGTATTAAGTCGATAATGGCAAATACTTCTTGCTGATGAGCTCCAGCAAATGTTTTCTGTTGCTCTGCAATACCGTTTTGCATCAATGAATCAACAAGAGGCGAACCAGGCACCACATCCAGCAGCACTTTTTCCTGCATGCTGAAATTATTTACATCAAAATAGGGTTATCCCTATGCAGATCAAAATCCACCGTGAGAAACTTACCCAACTTTTTAACCTTTTATTATTCTCACTTTCTTCTTATGTTTCATAGCAATTTAAAATGAAAACTGACCCGTGGAAGACTAGTTCAACAAGTAATAAATGGCTGACCCTGAAGTTAGGGAATAACTGATTCGCTAAACGTGAAATACACGACCTGTGCCAACGAACAATTCTAACCTTACCGAGAAAAGTCATCTAACTTCTTTCCAAACAATTTAGTTCTTTTGGTCACTTTGACTAGGACTCAATGATTGGACACATGTCCCACAATTGTTACTGATAATGGTACCTCACTGAAAGAAAGCAGGTAAAACAATTTTCCGAAGAAAAAAGGCGCTATTTAGTTAAGCCAGAAGGGCAACAAAGACAGAGAGTTAACACTTAAAGATATGCTTCCGATATCTGTTTGCTGAGCATACCGAATACTTTTAAGCTTAAAACTGAAGTGATGAAATTAAAAGTGAAAAACGCCGACCGGGACATTGTTGCTATTATGATTGGCCGTATTTGTCTCCACGCAAACGATCAGAATGTGGATTAATCAGGATTGAGGGAGGAAGGGGGGAGAGAGGGATAAAGGAGAGGAATTAATTCTCCTACGCTGTCCGTTTGGACGGGGAATAACGGATAAAGGTCTTTAGAAATGCTTCACCCTATCCCCCATCTTACTTTGCATATGCAAACTGCTTCGCTCTTTTCCTCCATGTCTCTCCATCTTTCTTCTAACCAGTCTTAGCTTAAGTTCCGAAACTTTTTAACCATTTGAACGGCAGCTTGGTTGGAAAGTTAAACTGAATAACTTACATATGTGTTTATTATCAATTTGTAAGTGATCGGTACATGCTAGTGTTTGAGGGATATATTTGTTCATTTTTCTCCCTCATCTCATTATCGTCACGTATTCTTTAAGAAATTAACTCGTTAACCATCTCTACAACATTTACATCGCCTTCAGTTGTTGTGGAGAAAAGCTCAGTTCTGTAATTTGTTGACCTTAAAAAAGACCATCAATTTTTTAATTCAGTTCTTGAACGGTGACTTGCCATTTCCACAAATATTTGGACGAGGTCAGCAGTAAATATGTGATTTCCGCTCAAAATAAAGGACGGATCTCGCCCGTTCATTCTACACCGAGTGAACTTTGCCTGATTACATACAACATGTCGCCAGAAAGGATGCATTAGAAAACTGAAATCACTTGACAGAAACAACACCTGGAGAATATGTAGAAACTGATACTAGCTGTGGGGATAATTTATAGAATGATTTGCAACCTTATATAAAGTTATGCGAACAATAAAATCCTTGAAAATAAGAAATTTAAGGGCACAACGTTTTGTCGTGACTTGTCACGTCTCAAGTTTTGTTCTCATGTTTTACGAGACATCAATCAAAGTATTGATGGGAAGGAATGAACGAAGTTCGTATGACTATTCTTATCACTGCCTAGCAAACAAATTCTGCTAGTGAATTACAATTCAACGGATTTAATTCTGTCGTGCCAATGCTGGATTAAACTGTGAATTATATTTCGCAACACTTCGCTCCTTTTGTTGTTTATTGCTTTCTGAAGGCATCAATAGATTGGTTAAACGCTTCCGTTCTTTTTCCTCTCTATCCAGGCGTTCCTGTCTTAGCCTTTCCAACTTCTGCTTCTTTGAAACTTCTTCCAAATTCGATGACTTTTCTTCACCTGACGATATTTCCACTAAACCATAATCACGAAGTCTGCTTTTCTTCTTGCGCTTTTTATAACAAATTTCCTTATTCCTATATCTTCTTTTATGCTGTTTTTTCTCTACTTTCCCACAGGGACTTCCAACGCGTTTGCTAAACATTCCAACAGCAGATGCTCGATTTTCCGATTTTCTGAGCTCACTTTCCTTCTTTGTTGGAACTTTTTCATACCACGGCTTCTCCTGAAAATCCCAAATACAGCAGAAAAAATCCAAGATGCACAGTAAGAGAGAAAAAAATTGGAAAGTAGACGTAATTACTTTGAAGAAATTGTGTTGACCTGAAGTTTAAAAAACGAACTTTCGTTAACTCACTGGAACCTTGTCCAAGGTATTGCAATATGCCAACTTTCTTTTCATATTCTTCCTGTTCCTTCTTCTTCTCTAGTTCATAATCTCGATTTCCTATGCCAAAATTCTTCTGGTACTCTGCTTCTAGATCAGCGAAAAGATTGATATGACTGGGATTGGTAAACTGCGCGTTATTGTCATCAATTCCACTTCCTCCACCTCTATATATTGTCTCCATTGTTCCCGCATTTTGACGCAGTAGATTTATCTAAAACGTTTGACAACTGTAAGCTTATCGATGGAACTACAAAACAAAAAATTGAAAAGATATAAAATGAAAGCCAGATTTGGTTGACACTTCATTGCTGCTTGATATTTCATGTACTGTTCATCACTGCTGCGCAGCTTAAAATTTACAGCTTTTATCCGTCAGCGAATATTCAGAAGTAATACCGAATATTCAGAAGAATAATATTCAGAAGTAAGACATAACTGTTTATGCGACATTCCTCAAAAATGATGATATCCCTAAAGAGGTGTAGCTTCGCGTAACATCTTGTCTACTATGTAAAAGCTTCTGAATCTTAAATTCCCACTCGAGATGTTTGCTCTTTTGTAAAAGAAACCTAACTTTATATTCTTGCTCTGCAAGCTGAGCTCTTTTCGCCACCCTCGCTTCTTCTTCCCGAGCCCTTTTCTGATCACGGCGTACACGTGCAACATTCTCCTTTGTACGTACATGCCACTTCTTTTTAGGTAATATATTCATTTTCTGCAAAAAACTTCCGAATTTGAAAGAAGCAATTTGATATCTAACGCAATTCACGTCATTTTCCCCGAAAGCCACTATACGTCGTCCTCTCCCTGCTTTTTCAATACATAATTCGAAGCACTTCACCGATCCTATAGCAAGATCATGCTGCAGTGGCACGAGCATTCACTAGAACTCGTGGATCAGATGAAACAAATCAAATTTCGCGGCTGTACCTTCCTAACAATGTAACGATAACTCCTTAGAGCACAACATTGCTAGCTTTTTCCCCTATGTCCGATGGTAAAACAAAAATCATCGAACATAAAAGACAAGAATTCATCTGGCTTCTAAAATGAACAAAACAATCACGTCCATCCCTATATTCTATCGGCACAAGACACTTCACAAGTAAACATTGATTTGCAATTCAACAGTAGCCTCTTATGAGGTACGACACACAACATTTTATTAAAATTTAGGAAAGTGATATTTAAAGCAATCTATAAATATGGTAAATTTTCACAATCATTTTTCATTTCACATAGAGATTGGAGGCACCGATATGTGCGTTTGCCAGCACAGTATCTCGACACACATACTGTAGCTGACCTGCAATACTGTAGCACCAAATCACCATAATTAACTTATAGTAAAAAAACATACACCGTGAAGATATCCTCGGGTATTAGATACACTAGCTCAATAAATAAAGCTTGGTAAACAAGATATTTATGTACAAACTAAAAGTTCATTCGTCCAGTGATCAATCTCTTTGCAAGTAGTGCAGAGAGATATTCCTGAAACATGGTATACAGCGAATAATTTACTGTTTAAATTTCCAACATGAGACGTTAAACAAAACCAATATTCATTTGTTCCATGCATATGTTTCCGCACTTGTCAACAAAAGCTTTTTGAATTGTAATTCTACTAAAGCATACTGACCCATCTGAAAGGCGATATGTAAGTAAATAGCAATGTACCAATTTTGTTGGAGAAAAGAGCAAAGATGACATTCATTTACTTTGACCTCCTAATATCTTAGATAAAAGTTCATTGTTCGAGGAGAAATACACAGAAGCTTACTGGTATGAAGGTACAACATTCTACCACAATGTTATTAGTAACTGGAACAAATAAGTTAGATGAAAACAAGGCGATTTAGAAGTTATCACAGAAAGTAACAGCAACAATAAGAAAATCTTATATAAAGTCGTTGTAGGAAACGAAATTGAATTTAACATTTTAGAACTGGATTCATTCTGAATTTGAAATTGATTCAGTAAAAATATACATGACAATTAATTTCTAGAAAAATTGTAAACTCTTCTCGCCCTCACCATTTTTGCACAAAATTCATAAAATCAAACAATAAAGGTAAGCTAGTAAATGATAGCTTATTGACACAGAAGTAACAGGAAACTTCAAAATGTGATGCATTGAGTGTAAATCCACGAAACGGTGCAAGACCTAACCACATAGAGAATCTGACGTCCCAGATATTCAGATAAAGTTTAGGAATTCTGAATCATAAAAATCTTTAAAAAGAAAAACCTGAAAGAAAATAAATCCCTTTAAAAGAGCTCACATATACAAAATAATCCCCTTGTTCCGGTTCAGATCAGAACTGAACATAATGTCATTTTAAAAATTCTCATAATTGTTGATTCTTCAATAATATATATTCGTTAACACTTCAAAATGAATTTGAATTCAGTGAAGCAATAAATGTTTGACAAATCGCAAGAGAAGGAGATGGAACATGCAGATGATGTTTCGTTTCTTCGAATACTTTTTCACGATGCTGCAGTGGTCGCGCACAATCTTGCTGGGATAACCGATATGCTCGGGACGCATTTACAACAGTATCACGAACTAGGTGTGGTAGCATACATATATGGATATGAGCTCCGTCAAAAAGCGGTCCAAACTCGAGAGGTCGCTGAGTTTCGATTCTAACCCGAAATAAGTAAGGTGACATTCGATAGAGGACGATAAGTACATCACAAAATCGTGTCGCAATGGTGTCACGACGATAAGGGCGATCGTTTTCACTCCATACTACGTGCACTTCATCGTTACCCAAATGTTTCAATTTATGTGTAATATCACCTAAAATTTTTTTTTCATTTGAAATCTAAAACGATAGCCAAATTATATACATAAACAAGATAATTGTCCATTCATTTTTTTTGTTTCGCACTCTCTAATGACTATTTCTGTCGGATTACCGAAAGTAAAGTTACGTTCAAATAAAATTTCCACGGTATCTACCGAACAGGACGATAAAATCCTGTAAGTGAAATTAGGACAATGAGGAAGATATAAGCTCACAATGGTGGACTCACAGAATCTCAGTACCTATTCGTGGCTGCACAATGGACCATGGTAACAAGCAGTCGTACTTCCAGGATAACTTCGGTGGAGCTTAGCAAATCCCCTTCCCAAATCCTAAGTATATATATATATACGGGGAAAATTCTAGAGTTTTTACAGTCAAGCAGACTACAACGTCCTTTTCTGTCCGTCACCATCAAACAACAAGCGATAATTCATTTATTTCACGCTAAATACATACCCTGTAGCATATCCCCAACTAACGAAGGATGAACTCTTATTATCTCAATCATCACGCAACCTGTCAACAAACAATAACCAATTATTATCGAAGGCAACAAGGACATTGTTAACTGATTATATTCCTTGTTTATGGTATAACTCATTCATCACTGTTTACCAATTTATCGCGTACTATACACTGTATATTTTTTTTGCTGTTATTAAGTAGTAAAATTGTTCAAGAACAATTTTACATCCCGAATAAACCTATATCGTTGACGAACGAACTCAACAAATTAATTTTTCCAACAGCTTCTTCGCTTATATCCGGGAAAAGCTGGATTCATCCACACAACGGTCCCCTAAAAAATGGGCCACTGCTAGCCGTCAAACCCACTGTTATCACGATTGCTTACAGTCTCTTACAAATATGATTTACAGCATTTCGACACTTTACAGTTCGCTCTGCATTGCACACCACAAAATATCCTGCTGCAATGAGAGCCTACGATAGAATTTGTGAGAAAAACTTGTAAATGCTCCAAGTGAATGAGAAACGAACCATCGAGCATAGTGCTGACATGAAAAATAATTTCCGTATCAGCGGATGCATAATACGGAGCAGTTACGCCGCTTGGTAGGCCTCCATTATACCCATAGTGCTGACGACCTATTTGTACTTGCCAACCCAGGCGTAAGATGAACTCATTGAATGCAACTGAACCATAATTATTGGAAAGTACTGAGACTTTGTCCTGAAAAAGCAATAATTAGAAATCGCTTCCAACTTCACAACTGAATCAAAACTTTCGATATGTTTCTTGAAATTGTCCCATATTTCCATAGAAAGAATGTATACTTTTTTCTGTGAGAAAACATATAAACTTAAAATGAGATTAATATTTAATACTCCGTGTATGCTATGTGATTCGAATATTTGGCTAAATGAATAAATTCAGAATTCAAATATTTTGTCAAAGTTTGATCACACATTTAAAAAATAAAATCCAAGTTAAAGTGCCTCCTTGTGTCAGAAAAACTCCGAAAATCATAACGCGAATTTTCTGTCGAATTACCGAAATTTAAGCTATATTCAAATAAATTTTCCAACAAACGGGGTGACAAAATCTTGCAAGTAAAATTAAAGCAATGAAGAGGATATATGCTACCAATGGACAGCGTAAAACAAAAACTCAGTATCTACACCGTGGACAATGATATACATTGTGCCTACACAACGGACAATGGCAAAGGCTAGTCATACCTCCATGATAATCCTGATGGAGCTTATAAAACTCCTCCCTAATCCTTATATATATATATATATAAATATATATATATATATATATATATATATAGATAAAGATATATAAATCCCGAGACAGTTTCTTACAACCGAGCAGACGATAGACCCTCTTCGCTTATTCTCCACAACTGAACCACAAACGACGACATCTTCGCATATCCGCCACCATTGGACAACAAACTACGATATTCTTCTATTCGCTAAATACATTTCCCGTAACATATTCCCAACTCAATGACCTATCAACTTACCGACAGTCAAATTATTGGTCCAAGGCAACGACAAGGAGTTTGTTAGTTGATCACATTATTTGTTTTTGTATAACTCATTTATCATTGCTTAACAATTCATCGTGTAATATATATATATATATATATTTTACACCTTTTTTTTTGTTAACTAGTAATATTGTGCAAGAACAGTATTACATCCCGAATAAATCTGTATCGCCGAGAAACGAATTCAACAGGAAAACAATTTCCCAACACCTTGGTAAAATATGTTTCGAGTTCGATGAAGTTTACTTAAAAAATAAGTTTGTCAAGAAAATTTGGATCTTATCAAACTTACTTCCTGTCCCTTAGCAACATAGATAACAGCCACTTTATGCACCTCCCGTGAATAAGTATGGTCGAGATGTCGTATATCGCGATTGAAACTGGGTGAGATCTGTCGTGTACCCGGGAATAACCGTAAATCAGCAGCGAGAGTGCGCCACAATACATATTTTCCTTCAACTGATGCCCGTGTTGAACATTTAGTTGTTTTTAGATGACGCGAGGCAAGTACATTAGTTGTTAAGCGTCTATTCTGTTGAATGAAGAAATACATTTCGTTACATTCAATTGGGTCCGCTTGCAGTATTCGTGGTAATTGTGGCAACTTCTGGAAGAAATATGAATGGATTTTTTCGGAAGCACATTACTCAATAATTTACTATAAAATGAAGCAAGCAGCACAAAGGCAACTAGTTGGTAGATTTATGGAACGTACTTCGAAGGGATCTTCAACTGCTCCTTTAAAGTTGGTCATTTCTAATGCCACCTTCTTCGGTCGTAAAGCTAATTTTCGTAGCCAATTATTAACGCAATTCATTTGACGCCTAACCATACGTTCCCGCGCAAAACACCAGCAATGTTTCCCAACTGGCGTTCGACTAGTCACGCGTACGCTACTATCCACATCAACACTGAAGCGATAACAGTACAAAACTTCTTTGATATGAACCATTTATTAAACCTGAAATTCCCATACACGGTCTTGCCCAAACTCTGCCTTATTAAAGTCAACTTTCAAGGTTAATAAATTAATTAAGACAAATTCTCATCAGCAACAACCGCTTAAAGTGAACAGGGAATCCGGATTTGTTGTCTTTATAATCGGTATTAAGTCATGTTCTCCCAGTGTAAAACTTCTAATACAGAAATTAGAATAAAATACAAAGAAGTACAGTCAGATTTATAATAATTTCATCTTGATTTGTAAAAATAACCTTAGAATGGCTCTTCCCTGGTCAAAAAAAATACGCCCCGCTGTCAATGAATCATGTTGAGAATTTCCAGTACTATTTTCCAGTGAATTACAATGGGCTGAAGTAAATGACGGTAATGGAAATTGCTGATAATAAGTAAGCAAGAATCCTTCCAAACAAAGCCTTCTATCATTCAACACCCGTTCCAGCAACGATCGTCTAAGTTGACAATCCATTAAGCTAGCTGATACGCTTTGCCACAGAATCTCACCAGCTAAGCTGTCATCCTTCACCTCAAAATAGTAATAGAAGTTAAGTTTTTGATTTGAAATATCTTAACACTTTGTAATAATAAAATGAAATGAGTTGAAGCAATGAAAACCAAAAACCCGTTGAACTAAGCCAATTTACATGTACCAGAATGATAATTACAACAATCTGGCAAGTAAATTTGGTTTTTATGTGTTGTTAGAAAGGATAATAACAGAATTTTATTCCCTAATGACAACATATATGAAAACTATCAAGTACACATCTTTCCTATAAGAAGGAAAACGAATAAACATACGGAATCGAGTGCCCGCTCCAAGACAGTAACTAATTTGTCGCGTAAGCCGAGCTGTTTCAACTGATTCAAATCGGCACAGAACATATGAAGCAAACTGGCAGAAGTTTTCAGAGTACAAATACGATTCATCACTTCGGTCATCAGCTTAGTGTCAGCCCGCTCGATGATTAGCAGTGCCAAGGCATGCAATGCCAATGAGTAAGATTGCAGAGGCACTTCATTCGAATTTAATGCTAACAGATTGAGTAACAGCGTCTCACCCACAGCGTGATCGGGAGAAAGAAGTGCGGCCACCTACAACTACTGCCACCATTTCTTCATATTAAAAAGGATAGCTAAAAAGCTGTGTGAGGCGAACTCGGTGTGCTCCTTAGTCAACTACAGTGGAAATCTACTGCAAAACGAATTAAAAGATAAAAAAGTTCAAGCATGTTCCGTAATGTTTAGCTCTCCTAGCCACTATGCTAATAAAAAGCAATTGACTGTGGTAATTTCAAAATTCCGCAACTAACCTGTACACTTCTTGGTGAAAAATTGGATTGCCTGATAAGCTGGGTAAGTGAACTGAGAGCTGGACGTGCCAATACGGTAAGATAATCCTTGGACATGAATGGCATGTATTCCAGGACGACAGCAAAACGTTCGGAAGCAATCCCTCTAGCCAATGCAAGTAGAATGTGAGCCTGGAATTACGCATTTCAAAATAGCCGAGAAATTGTCAAAAAATTCAGAGAAAATTCATAAATTCAACAGTGTAGGACAATAACGCTAGAAAAGGGAAAAAATTAAAGGAAATTGAGGAAAGAAAAAAAATGGAAGGAAAAACATCTAGACATACCAAAGAAAACCAATGTTCAGAAAAATCAGTGTTTCCTGTTTCTTATATCTTAAATTTCTACGATACTCTAATAAAATACCGAGGGTTGTATGGTAGTAGGACTGACTGTTAAGTAAAAGTATTTGAGCCAAAAAGTTTAAAATGTCTTAATGTTCACATAATTTCAAATACAGAACCTAATTTTTCTTTTTTTTTGGACGGTATAACGTATCAGCTAAATTTGGCAGAAGCAATCAAAACTGGCATATCAATTACGAAATCGAACAATGCCATGACCTTTTCACTTCACTAATCTGTCTTACAAATAGGTTTGTTAAGGTGTCATTGTCTTTCTATATACTCATTAGTGAACCAAACAGTGACCACTGAAAATAAGCGTCACTTTGCAACGATATAACGATACAACAGTAAAAATTCACTTTTGGTCTTATGTTTTTTTTTTTTGGTTCTTGGTATCTGCCTCGCAAATTGATGGACTTTTTCTCTTCAATGGAAATTAAATATAAAGTGAATAAAGCAACATGTTAAGTTTTGAGTACCAAATAAAATAACTGTCGGGAAAAAATCCATCCTTGGAGTATTAATTACTAAGAAAAAGAAGTCCGTGAAATGATAATTGTCCATGACTTATGTAAAAAAAAGACAAAAAAGCCTAAATAATAGAGAAATAATATTTTTGCAGGTGAGGATGTGTATTTCTAAAGCCTAAAATGAACATGGACATTAGTTTATTTTCTAAACTTAAATGAAATTATAATGAACTAACTGACCTCAACAAGAGGTGGAGGATTGATAGTTGAAAGAACAGCAAAGTACGCGGGCAAACAATGAGCCTGCCCGGATGGCGGAAGAAGTAACAGCCGAGTACAAATCCAGTGTATCAATGCATCAGTACCACTTAGCCGAAATAAAGTGCTAATGGTTTTTGAAATAGTCTGGAAAATCAAACAAATATATTATCGATACCAAGAGCTACACAGAACTAAATTATGCTTTATACAGAACAACGTGAATAACACAGGCTAATCATATTGGACTAAAATAAGACACTGTCTGAATTAAATCAGATTAAACGAAATTTAATCATTAAATTTAATTCACGTATCCGTAAAACAACGTAAAATTTTGCTCCGGTAAAATGAATTCCTTAATATATTTGAAATCATAATTGATTGTCTGGTTTCGTAGAAAATTTTAAAAGGATAGACGAGTACTGCACAAAAACATAGCTGTGGCATGTTGCAAGATTTGCGCTGATTAAGACTTATTTGATTTAGGAAAACAAACCCAAATAGCACACTCTACAGCCGAATGGAAATGAAATGACATATTTCAGCTCTACAGAAATAATGAAATGACACATTTTAGCTCTCCAAAAATACTAATGCTCAATTTCATCAAACATAATTAAAGTTTTGGGAAAGCAAGTGACCTGAACAGCAAGATATGAGTGGGAAGCATGCAATGGAGAGACCAAATTAACAATTCGCATCCATACCCTCAACCAAACCACTGCGTCACCTGTCGACTGCAAAATTCATACAATTAATTCTAGTTCACAGCCAAAAAATTTGCATAAAAATGAATTAAACAGACTTTTAAACAAAATCCACTGAATTTTTTTGAAATTTTTACATGTAACAAAAGAGCGTCTACTAGTAATATTTTTTTGGTAACAAAATAATTGTCAATCCTGTATTGAGTAGCATGAAATCACCACATAAACATGCTAATTTACAACAAATAAGTAATGATGCCGGTAAAATGAAGGAACTGAAATTTATCAAGGAACGATTTCAATGCTTACACTTGCAGCTTGATTTCCATCGCATTTAAATACTCAGCCATTCCAACTAAATTACAGCACAAAGAAATAATGAGTTAAGGAAACAGAACTGCTAGTGCATAGAGAAATCAATTTCATTCAAAACCAATCATAGCCATTTAAACGTTGCAAAAAAAAAAAAGATAAACGGCATAGTTAATTTCATTTTTGTATAATTTAATATACGTGAATAGTCCAGCTTAACTGATATTACACATTTATTTTAATTAGAAAGATATATAAAAATGTAAAAGAGAAAATCTGATATCCTAATTCCCGATGGCTCTCATGGCATCATTGCAGTTTTAGATCAGAAACTTTTTACGCTTCAACTTTCTATATTTAATGGATATAACACGTTTAATACAAAATAGTGACAAGTGGATTACTTCTGTTTGCAACGCTAACAACATCTTGGCAATATTATCAGTCAAGCTCTATCGAACACTGTATCAGAAGTATTCGAAAAAAGACCTGTTTTTAACAGATTTTTACCAGATCATAATTTTTTTTACCGATCAATAAAAGTGATATGTTATCTGCTAGCTTCATCATAATTCTATTTCTTGTTACTTCCAGTAATCTCTTTGAATCAGTATTTTTAGTATTTACATAAACTCAGTCGCTCAAAACCCCGAAACAAAATCCAGTAGTTACCAAAGTCATCGAAATACCACTCTAAGATAAGCAAAAAAGCAGCAGTTAATGATACGTACTCCGGATTGTTTTACTTCTGGCTCTTTTTGATTAGATCAATAACCCTTGCCAAGGGTTTATTTTCCATCGAGATTGCAAGTTGTGATTAAACGCGATATTCCTACCGTACTGTAGATAAGGATTAAAAAAAAAAAACAACAACACTAAGCGAAAGAAAACTGCGTCTGAATAAACGACGTACCATGAATCGTTATTGTGGCTGCAGTGAATTATAATCTTACGAAGTAACGATTATCGTTTTACTTGAAAAAATAAATTTCTAGATATAAAAAGGACTTGGAATTTGATATATATAAGAGAAGTTCCAAATTCCCACGGCAATAAGGAACGGAACATTTAAACAGGCATGAAAATGAGCTCGATTGTGAGGTGCAAAACACGAAAACAGCTAATTCATGACTGAATGGCTCTTCGATATTTGCTTCATAGATACATTATCAAACCATTCAGCAACAATATTTACAGTCGTACTAATTTGACGCTCTACATTTCTTTAAGTAGCAATTGAATCTGAAGAAAAAATCTGTAAAGGAATAAAAATAGACCATGTTACCTGGAACATCTTTCAATCAAAAAGTAACAGTTAATGCGCTCAATTTAAAAGCAAAATCTTGAACGCGATACAATCATTCAATACTTTTCGTGTATTGAACAGCGAAGAAATAGCATAACTTTGGATACTTGAAAATAGGACTAAAATGTGTTTCAAATTTAAACACTCTCTTGTTCGAAACCTTTGAAAGATGAATTACACAGGAAGTAGTAATAGCCCAGGAAAATTGGGAGAGTGAATGAAAGTGGAAGAGTGAGTGGCGGTAATGGAGCTTAGACAAGGATGGGAGAGTAGAGGTAATATGAAGAGATAGACAAACAATAATTACTGCTGAAATTTCCAAATTCACTTTTCCAAAGAAAAATAGCCATTAAAAATATGACTGCAATAGAACCCTTCATTGTTTTACAGAAAAAAACAAATCGAAACAGATATCAAAACAATAATAGTGATGAATGATAACGAGCGGTTCGTATAATTTATAAATTCATTATGGACGTCTTTAAACATTATTAAAATACGAATATCCCTAAAAAGGAAATAGGAGACATGCATAAGACGGTGCTTACTGTGACAACAGTGGCAGAGGCCACATTTCCATAATCACTAATTTTAACGATAAAAGTTAATTCAATCAAATTTCAATCAAGAGTCGATCAAAAATAGATTGTAAAATTGGTTCACACCATTTCAGGTCTGTTTTCTTGCTGCTTCCACAAAGACCCTTTACAACAAAGTGGGGGATTAAAAGGGAAAGGGCTAGGGACTAAAAGAGGGAGGGCTAAATCTGCAAGAATCCAGTAGCAAATTTTTTAAAATCTCTTTTAATAATCTCCAACATCAACAGTCCGAGACCAACTACAGAATTTGAAATCCTATCGGTATTAATGACCATATGATCTAATCTTTCAGAAAGTAGAATGATTGGAGATAATCATCGAAACTAGAATAAATGATGACGATTTAAATCCGTGCAGACCTTCATTTGCAAATTTAAACCAGCATATTACAATGGAAAGCAAATCATTGACAAAATTACTCGCTTGAACATTCCGTAATTCTTTACGTGTACATACAAAACATCAAATTTATCGCCATTGTGAAAGTTGCAATTATGCCATTGCAATCAATAGGAAGTTATTGTTATTTCCTCAACAATCGAAGTTATTGTTATTTCCTCAACAGTTACTGTTATTTCCTCAACAGTTATTGTTATTTCCTCAACAATCAACAATCGCAAACATAAAATTACTGAATTTCAAAAGGAAAACTCATCGTTAAAATGAATGAAAAAAGAACAAATCATAGCAACAATAGAGGAACTGCCACAATCTTATTTTTCAGCTTGAAATGAGTTAAATAAACATTGCGTCGAAAAAGAAAGAAGAACAACAGTAAGACATAAAAAATGAAATGGTTTAATTTTTGGGAACAATTCTGATTTATAACATCAAGATTTGATTTACCTTGAATAAAGAAGATCCAACCAACAGTTGGTAATTTTCATAACCTTTTCAGGATAAAAAATAATCAAGATGTCGAAATACTAATAATAATAATAAGTATAGCAACAATAATAACAAAATAACGCTAACTAATTAGTCAATTAGTCAATAACAAAATAACGCTAACTAATTAGTTGATTAACAAGGTATTTTTTAGGTGTTTTTTTTTACTTCTGGTTCTTTACTTCTGGTCCTATGCTACTTATATTAATCTTTGGCCTTGTTTTCCGATGCCATAATCAGTCATTACGCTGTAATCCTTATGCCATAATCATCAATCCCATAATGAGTCAAGTCTTCCGCTTTGTCACTAATTTTCTAAAACTCCGAAAATCGCTATATGAATGTTTTCTAAAAGCACTCATGTATCTAGGGAAACAAGGCCAAAGATACTACCTGAATGCTATGGAACAATTGACTATTTTATCACTGCCATAGAAAAATCAAGTAAACATAAAGAATACAAAAAGATCGCTACAATGATACATTAAAATTCTTGCTATAAATAACGAACACTGACTTCAAAAATTACTAAAGCAGCAATCGAAATGACAGAAAGTGGAAATAAGGAACCATACTTCGGGAGCTGCAAGGAAAATGAACATGACATTTCGGATATAAAGGCAGATACAACCATCGAGAAAAATAAGGCAATAAAATATTAGGGCTTGAGACATAAAATTGAGTCATTATGAGAAAATGGTGATTTCAGATAAATAATTGAGCTGAAACTGCCTGATAAACCATTCTGGGACAATCAGCATGGATTAAAATAACATGAAGAATAATTCCATAAGAGCCGCATTACATTAAGAAAATACCTTTTTGACTCGTAGGTCACAAAAAAATGAGGTATCAAAACTACAATCTAAAATATGGATCGTGCAAATGATGTGTTCAACTGTAATGATAATGGCAGTGTAAGCAGTTACTCAGTGGTAACAGAAATGGTGGTCATTATGATTAATGTATGTACACATTTTGCAACAGAAAATATGAAAATTAACTCCTAATAATTTCCAAAAGAGCTAGTAATGCAGAAGATGACTAAAAAAGTAGTTTAAAATTTGGAAAATTTTTACTTTAAAAAAGAAAGTGTTAAAATATATGGCCCAAAACACGAATAAGCTAAGAAAAAATCGGTGAATAGCCACATAGAAGATAAATGACATTAAACACTTTAATCATTAATGAAAGACTGTCAAGCATGAAGTTTATATTCAGCTGGCATTTAAGTGATAATTATGATAGATTTTTCATGAAGTTTCTGTCTGTCAGATAAATTCAAGAAAATAGTTAATTGGTACAAAAAGGTGGATCATGCCGAAAGCAAGGGAAAGACAATATTTAGCCAGGACAAATCTTGTTTTTAATGACCCATGCAATGCGCAGTAAATAAGACGACTTACTTTGTGGTGCTGTAAATGAAAGAAGAGATCGGCATCAATCATTAATATGTCACTAACAAACAATCATGTGCGAGACACAGCTGAAGAGAAAAATTGTTCGTATAAAAACCATGGAAAGTTTATACTAACACTATAACATTTTGCTAGTATATTAAACTTTAATTATGATGTCTCTTAAAAATGAACGTTAGGAAAAACAGTTAAATAAGTGCAAGCTCTAAACATTTTGTTAGAATGTTAGGTACTGTAGCAATTACTGAAAGGTATCTGGAAAATGGAGGTACTGCTCGCCAATATAATTCTCTGTATCAACAAAGGGTCAGTTGGAGAAGTGTCAGCAAAACAGTGAACTAGCAAAAGATTGTAAAAAGAAATAGATGTAAAGATAAACTGAATGTTTGTTATATATTATCTATTTCCCTCAAATTCACTCCGGTAGATATAATTCGAGTATAACTTGTTAAATTGTTACCTATGTCATGTATACCTGAAAGTGCATGTGACAAAGTTGTTGAATAAAACAAATGACAAAAACTCCTTATTTCAGCTTTCGAAAAACAGAAACCAGCAAATCAATAAAAACGATATGGGAAACAATGAAGGGTATAAGTAAAACAGTTAAAAATAGTTCGAAATGGTCAGTGAGGGTGAGATGATGCCATGTACCTATATATGGATGGTATATAAATTGCGATCAAGAATAATAAGGTGCGGCAGACTGCGATGCAGTAATACAAACGGATCAATAGAATTTATTGTTTAACTATCCAGTTGATTTTTTTTAATTGGGAAAAAAAATTAACTGTAAATTTGAGAATATTACGCAATAAACTTTTTCGACGATATAAAAACAAGACAAGCATCACAGCTTGACATATCTCGAAACGGCGGTTAAGATTCAGGCAACAAATGTTGACGGTGTATCTGTGGATCTGGAAAAAAGTATTCAGTGTTCCACTTCAAGCTGAGCAAGATGTCATGTAAACAGATTTGGATATATACGTAAAGCATCAAAAGAGTTAGGGATGCAATCATATCTACCGTGTCAATCAGCTGAACAAACAGAATAGTTCTGATACAAAACTATAAAGATATTCCCACCCTATTTACAGATTTTGGAAAGTGGGAAGGGGATCATTATGCAGCTACCAAAAGAAATTAACATCAAATTAGTAATAAGTGAACAATCCATTAAAACGTCGGTATATAACCATTCGTTTGAAGAGGAGTCTTGAAAAGGATTAGATCACTGCTCATCGTGAATATAGAAAAATTACAAAAGTAATCCAAACATTTCACTGAAAATCAGTGAGAAACATGGTGAATACTGCGTGGGAAAATACAAATGAAAACAGTTTGATTAGTGCTCGTATGAAAATGTTCATAACTAGATTAAAGTATGCTCATAAAAGATAACAGCGAAAAAACTTACTTGGTGAAATAGATAAACAGAGAAAGCAAAATACGAAAAATTTCTCAATTTACTAATATAGTTTATTTTTTTGTAACTAATCCTTCTCCAAGAAAAAATTAATAAGAGTTGATGAAATGGAAATCTGACTGTTAGATACAATGAGTTTTCTATTTTTATCTCAGGGCAACTCTGCAAACTTTGCCCTTACAGAAGTGAATTTAAATTATTTACTCTCGTACCTTTAAAATTCTCGAAATTATTGCAAAAATGTTGTAGCATGAAGTTCTTAACTTAATATTGTCAAAAAATTATTAAATCTAAGCAGTTTTATTGTTTTCCAGTAGGAATGACATGAGGAGACAACGCATTTAATAAACTTGAAATCTCGACTGGCTGCAAAAGATCAACGGATGTAAGGCCACAATGAAATACTAAGATTTAATGTTTAAAAAAGTGCTGTCTGATTCTGAGAAAAAATGATTTCTTTATTCAGCAGAAAAGAAAATATGAAAAAAATTATATCTTGACTTGATTTTCCTGCTTAACCTTTACCGCCCCATTTATTAATGTACAGCAAAAAAACTGTCAATACAAAATTAGGAAGGGACAGATATAAACAAGACGATATAGTTCTGTCAACTGGAAATCCAAAGCTAACAAACACGAAATTTACCTGCACCACTGAAGTGAATTGCACATTTTCGTCCTCGACAGAACTGTTGTTTTCGGACCGAGTTTCTTCTGAGAACTCTGCATTCCCATCTTCTTGAGTACTTGTCGTTTCATTACTTTTCACTCGTTTGACTATTTGATGAGAAGTCTGAGATAGTGTCATACAGTAATAACTTGGTCTTGTTATCTACTAGTAACTTGCTTCAGAATTCTCTCATCAAAAAAAAGGGTCCGATGAATGCAGTACAAATCATGAATAAATTAAGACTAGGTTAAGAAAAATATACCGACTGAGCAGGTGGAGCAACATCAACCTCAAAAAGATTCAGAACAAGGGCACGTGTAACACTATCAACCACTCTGCTCCACTGTTCAATCATTTGCATCCAACAACCAGACTGGAACACAGCCAGCACATCATCCCAGACTCTCTCCTCGATTTCGATACCTAAGCAGTAAATTTTGAATGGTGTTTGTGTTTGTAAACTCCGTCTGTACATCAAACAAAGTGTTAACAACTTAATAATTAAAAAAAGATTCACATAATTTCCTGACATCTCACAACACTTCAGATGAATAGCAGACTAACCATTTATGGCTCGAACAAAAACAATAACACCAAGGAGGTTTTGTGCCAAGGCACCAGAAGTTGCACGCCCATAAGCATCAGATCTAAAAATAAGAATTTGTTAACCACAACAAATAATCAAACAAAAACAAGCACAGACGGGGTTTACATTTTTTTTCCAAGCCCAGTGATTTAAATGTTGTAATGACTGTAAAGATATGGAGAAAAAATGGTTTAAACCTGGAAGTAACAGTGCGTACGCCATCTGCAAGACTTTTGATAAGCTCGCACCAAACTCTAGCTGATAATGAATTTTGCAAAGGTGTCAAAGGATTGGACAGATCACGAGTTGTTTGCAGCAAGCTTTGTGTTAAAGAAATAGCGGACGACAAGTGTTCACCAGCTGCCGGTAAGTATGGACTGTGAAAAAATGAAGTAAGAAAGTGAATGAGCAAAAGTGATAATGATTCGATCTCAATTCCTTCTTGATCAATAAAAGGAGGTAAATTCTGTTGCAACAACCATGAATGGATCAAAGAAAAGACCTGAAAAGCGAAATTCATCGAATCACCTGAGCATTCATCTACGAGAATTTGTTTTCCAAAACAAAACACTAGATTTATCGGGGCAGAAAAGATTGGAAGGAAAGGAGAAAATACATTACCATCCCCAAATTACGAGGCTTATCAGACTGTCCACTACTCAGACCCTAAACATAAATTAGTGAATTATATTTTCTTACTTCTTCATTCCTAAGTTAAAAAAAATATTTTGAGCCTAACAATCATCCCGAAAAGTGCAAGCTTAAAAAAAGAACACAATTAGGTCCTATCATTAAAAATGTACATGAGGTAACCAAATGACATTTACTTTCCATGGAAAGTGCTTGTCCTTATGTTAATTTGTCGAAATTATCCGCATATTTATACAGTGAAAAATTCACGAAGATGCACGACTTACTTTATGAATAACATTCGAACATGGTAAAGGTAGCATTACTGCTTCTTTTAAAAGTGTTAAAAGAGTATTCGTTGCTTTACGACTGGAAAACAAAGCTTTGCGATATAATAGCTGACCTGTCACAGCTAAATCATTATTGGTTGTAAGCGCAACCGTCGTCATCCACCTGTATAGGTAAGATGTTATAGTCCTGAATCTTTAATTTTTTTTTTCCGCATATAGTACGGGAGGATTTAAAAGTAATAAAATACATCAATGTGTTCAGTAAGGGACGAAACTAGGAGGATGAAGAAATGAATTATAGAAAGACATTCACAACAAAATATTTCAACGAACCTGATGAGCCAATACCGTGCAATTACTATAGGGTCGGTGGTATAGCGAATATATATCTGTCCTTCACTACCCTCCCATCCACCATAAATATCTACACCATTAGTTTCTATATCAGGAAATACTTCGTAAATGTAGAGAACAATCACACGATCCAGAATAAATTTTGCACACTCCAAACGGATATTTTCGTCATTCCATTCAATCCGAATCGTTTCTCGTGTGCAATATTCAAGAAACTTATCCAGATATACCTGAAAGGGCCTAACAGCTTTTCAGATCTTCTATGCTCTTTAAATTCCACTACTTTTAAAATAATTTTTTAAATAGCAATACGATTATCAATTTACAATAAATAGCAATAACGATAATCAATTTACGATAATCCCACTTTTTATCATATGAATTAAATTACCTGAAGTAGCTGTGCCCTTTCTTTCGCACTCAGCGCAGTGTTGTTCGGATTACTTACAAGTGGTGAAATGCGGATAGGTCCTGGCCCTACGGTAGTAGCAGTCGATTGACAATAATTGTGCAAAATGCTTTCAGTAGGCAAATTATTCCTGAAAATGACTGAGTTAGAATTATTTAATAGAAGCAAATCAATTTAATTTCATCTAATTTCAATATATAATAGAGTTACTGTATCCTTAAAAAGTAAGGGATTTAACAAGAAAAGTGAAAAAATGAAAAAGATTTACGAATCTTATGAACAGAGAATTACGAACCTTATGGACAGAGATTTACAAACCTTAATGGGAAATGCGGAAGAAGGCATTGAAAAACGATATCCAATTGCGAATTATTATTGCTGTACATGGCCAAACTTTGATACCAAATAATAAATAGACGCAGTGCAATTTTTCTTACAGCTAGTAAATTATGCGGAAATAGAGCTTTTTTCAGAACACACTCGATAGCATGCTTTTGCCAACCTGGAAAAATAAAAATTTGGATTTAGACTTTGCATAAATCTTCAAATTTAAAAGCAAAACAAAAAGCAACAGAATTACAAGTAAGTAAACACATACCATTGCCAACTAATCCTGGTGCAAGACACAGTAATTGTTCGAGAGTCCACAAAGCTGATTCAGCTTCAAGAACTGATTGAGCCGTTTGTGTAAGGTCGGCTTGTATCAATAATTCATCAACCAGATGGAAAGTTTCAAAACTGTAGTCTTCTATAAACTGTCTTTTATCCTGCAAAAGAATGGAACTTGAGGTGGAGTATTGTTTGAAGTATTTAACTTTCCATCTGGCAATTAATGTCAGACTTTTCCAGAACCGTTCACAAGATTATATGTAACAAGAATAGAAATGAGATATAGGAAATGAACAGAGCTGTAGTTGGCAGTAAATCACATCTCCAAATGAATTGACTAGTAATTTGATTTCTAACGCATTAGTATACTAACTGCTCGCTTCATGTATATAGAAAATGCGTTAGTAGGGCAATAAAATGCACAATAATTCTATCATCCAAAATTCAAAATCAAACAATGAAAAGCAAACCTGGACGCAAAGAGCATCGAGAGCAAGTTTGAGATGTTTGGCCCGTGACGCACAATCACGATGGAGATCGGCAAAGCGCTGCAACGACGCTGTAAAATCTGCCGACTTCACTTTACGAGCGAACATTTCTTGCTCTATAACGGAGTAAACTTGTTCAATTCTACAACTGAAATGCATAAGAAAACTAAAGTTGGAATCAAACAACCTTATTGATATGTCATTATAACTGCTTTACAAACACTAAATTACCACTAGAAATAACTTTAAAAGCACCCCGGACTTTTTTCCCCACTCGTTCGGGATGCTTTTGAAATTATATTCTTAGTTGAAAAAAGATCCATGACAGGACGATATCCATGATACAACGATATGAAGGGAGTGGAGATTTGGTACTCCAAAATGATTATTGGTAGTCTCTAAAAAGTGCTCATCCCAACTTCTTATACTACTGACACTTGATGCACCATCCTTTCTGTGTAGTAAGGATCACCACCGCAAGTAAGCTGTATAGCACTCATTCTCATTTAGTCGACTCTTGAATAAACCTTTGATGATAACTCTGTCAACTGGGAAGTGAAGGGACTTGAAAAACCATAAGAAGTAAGACCATAAGAAAAAATACCATAAGAAGTAAACGCAACATGCAAGAGCAACTGGTAAGAACAGGAAGCGGGGCGAAGACTGGAGAAGTGAACGAACAACTAAAAAGGACATATAACATACACCACATCACTACCGTTTCAATTTATTATAACTTCTAGACCATCCCTTACCCATCCACTCATTTCTTCTTCTCAAACTCATTTAACTTCATCCCTATCCTTCCCTCGCACCACTCACTCCACTGCATTTTCGAACTTACCTATCTCAGTATTTTCAGAGATGTCAAATAATTCATCATGAGATCCAAATATTTCACAACAATCCACCGCCCATTTCCTCTCAATCGCTCCTCTATTCGTCCTCCCCTATCTGTTTTGGTAGTAGTGCGTACCCCGGTGTGTACGATCGCTCGTCTTGTTCCCTCCCTTCTGCAGGTGGTGTAAACCAATGCTAGTGCTTATCTCAGTTTTGGGATTTGGCTTAATCTGAGGAGAAAGATTAGAATACTGCCTCTCTTCTAGATAAATGCTTGTCATTCTTCACAAACATAGAGCTAGTGGGACAGTTCATTCTCGATAAATGAACGCGGTGATTTCTCGAATTTTCCTCATTGCACTCCTACACTCATCCAAGTGTGGATGTATTAGGCACTGATATGATCCATTGTGATTCTTCCTTCCTTATGTGACGCTTACGCCAGCTATTCAAGTCCGAGATTGTCATCACTAATGACATTCTTCAGTCCTTTATTTGTGCTTTCGTTTATTAATAAAATTCGGTCCTTTATGAATCGGACAGCTTGTTATCAATTTCAAACTGCTGTTACTTTGGTGATAGGTGCTATTGTTTGCAGTTGGTCAGAACTGTTTCCATGAAATTTTATTAAACACAATAGAATTTTTTGATATTAAACAACAGGAAATATGCAAAGAAATTCTGAAATTAAAACAAACAGACCGGTTAATTTCTTATTTTTGAAATCATCTCTCTGACGAAACTACCTGTTTGACAAAATGCCATGTTTGACAAAATAATCATTGACAGGAGCAGCTGCGACATGAGTAGAAAACTGATTCTTTATCACAATTAAAGTTAATTACGTCAGATGAAAATCTACAGGCTACATTGAGTGGAAATTGAATGCCAATTTCCTAATGTTACATTGAATTTTTTGATATTAAACAACAGAAAATATGCAGAGAAATTCTGAAATTAAAACAAACAGACCGGTTGATTTCTTATTTTTGAAATCATCTCTCTGACAAAACTACATGCAAAATTGAAAGTCAGTGAAGTCTTTAATATGAACACTGAAGTATTTGAAATGATCTATTCCGAAGGGCAAATGTGAAACTTTGAAGCTTTGGAAATCCAACCAAAACGATTACTCATCGGCTAAACTTGTCCTAAGCGTATCAAAATCATATACATACCATAACGCTTTACTTTCCACCACTTCACGACATTGATTCCCACCAAAACCAATGAATAGATCGGCATGTAGGGATGCCTCCAGATCCGTTACACCATCACCAATCATTACTAAATTCCGGTATCCCTTCTCATCCTTCAGCTTTCTACAGACTGCTGATTTGCCGAAATTTTTGGAATCCGAGTCACTGGTTAATCTTGTCTCATCAAAACCAATGTAAAATCCACTGTCATCGAAGAAAATCTCGTTTGCATAAATATTTGCCTCAGGAATTTTAAGGACTTTTGCTACTGGAATAACCATAGGAAGAAAGCTACCACTGATCAAATAAACCGGAATTCGAAGGCGATGTAATTCAGCAACTAAGGCTTCACCACCTGGTGTCAGTCTTGGTTCTCTTTTTTCAATAAAATATTCCAATTGCTTTCGCGTCGGTTTAAGAATATTTAAACGGACCCTCAAAGATTCACGAAATGAAATTTTACCATTCATTGTTTCCTCAGTAAGTTTGACGACTTCACTGCAGTGGAGATATTTTGCAAATTCATCGATCATTTCATCAACACATAAGGTTGAATCGACATCGAAACAAACAGCATCTGCCCTCTGCCAGAGTTTCTTGGCTTGGGCTTCATTTTCAGGGAGACTATTCGAAACCTCATCTTCCAACATACCTACAGAATCGCTGCAATGCAAAATCCTTTTAACGCCTCTTTCTGATTAGAATCTTCTTATCCTGCAACATGATATGGTTAGCACATAGCACTGTAGCTCCCTTTCGAATAGTAGAGCTCAGCCATATCACGAACAATTACCAGTGGAAACAGTACGTCAAAGGAGCATTTTCCGGTGAATTTTCCGCCCCAGCTATCCGTTACTGCTCGAAGCACCATAATCTTGAAAACAGAACAACAAATGGCAAACTACTTTTTCAGTAAACTACTTTTAACCAAATATTTCGTCAGTAAGTGAACGAAAGAAAAAACTAAATGACTATGAGACTGCGTGGCAATTTGCTGTTCGATCTTCATTTAGATTTCAAGCATTTCTTAACATAGCTTATTTAAATTTTATATGCTAAAACAATGGAGTGAATGCAACTCAACGTTGACGAAATCTGGTACTTTTAATATTGCAAGGGAAGAGCAGAACTTACTATTCCCACTCAGTGATACCAACTCAAAAACACAGATTTAGGTATGTCACTATCTGAAAGTGTGAATTTTAAAACAATGCTTGGAAGCGTATACTTCCAAGCAATAATTGTTTGTCGTGAAATATACGGATTTTGATTTAATTATGGAAAAAGCGACAAACTGATTTTGATTTCAGATAATTGAAATCTAGAAGTAGATAACTCAAAGTACAATTAGTAGATAAATGAAAGCTGTTTTAATAGTTTTGTTCATCCAGTGATTATACTGAGAAAGGATTGAAAACGATGCAACATCTACTTAATTATATGCAATACAACACATACGATAGGTCAAGTACAACAAAACAACTTTTTTGTATATCACAAATGGTCTCCAGAAATAGCTCGCAAATGAGTACTTGGAGGATTGGAGGGATCTAGAAAATAGAACTTTTTCTTTGAATTTACAGTGATCTGGTGATTATCGTACAGGTAGCAGAGGTCCTGAATTGAAAGGTACAATTATAATTCAAAGGACATGCTTCAATGCGCGTGAATATGACGTTCAGTATAAACCTTTCAAATAGTGACAATATCTGATAACAGAAAAAAGAATGCGTTTACGGCTTTGAAATTTATGTGTTGGGAAAGCATATTTAACTCGCAACGGACGATATCATATGAGACTTCTTCAGCAGCAAATTACTCGAAATTTTAGTTGTAAAAACAATTATTAATAATAAATTCTTGTCTTGTAGGGAAATTGAGTTTGAAACTAACAAAAGATAAATGAGTCAGTTGAATTTAGCGTGAATTAACTAAAGAACAACAATTAAAAAACAATTAGCTCAGCCTTACTGAGCTATGAATGATTTGCTTTTTATTCCATGTGAAATTGAGACAAAAATACTACTAGTACTATTGATATCTTCTTAAAAAACATGTCGACCTTCTCGGAATGCAAAACAGGCTATCGTTTTGCTGTGGCCTTGAAATTGGCGCACCATCTGAAACATAATGATTTTCTAATTTTGTAATTTTTATTTAAATCTGAACCAAACAAAACAGGAGCAGAAATGAAAACTAAGTACCTCTTCAGTCTCAAGATTCCACAATCTCAATTGACAACCAGATGCAGTGAAAAGATATTTCGAATCGGATGTAAACGCACAATCCCAAACCCACCGTGATTCCATCTATAAAAAAAAAAAATCAACTGAACAATCAGCGAATGAACTGATCTTTTTGATATGCATTCATCAGAATTTGAACTCCACTCTAACTCTAACCTGAAATCAAACTTCGAATATGAACTACTTTTACAATATTATTTATAATTCATTCCTTTCAATATGCAGAAGTCGCGATTTTGAAACTCCTTTATATTAACTAGATAAAAACAAAAGTAATTGTGCATATAGAGATAACCAAAGTCTTCACAATTTTAACATGCTACATTTAAATTTTAATTAGCCCATCTTCCAGCTGTACCCATATTGTTAGTCAGTAAATTTCTCTGCTAGTTTAGGTAGCTGAAGACAAAAATGTGAAAAGAAGTGAAAGTACTTTTTCTAGATGAACTGCCTTTGTTAAATCAGACGCAACAAAAAGAGACTTTCTGGGTTTCGTAACATGTGTAGCATCCCATAGGTGCACATAACCATCAGCGCCCGTTGATGCAAAATACTTACAATCAGGTGAATAATGACATTTCAAAGCATATTTTGAATGAGCAACAACTTTTGATTTCTGTTGCCTGAAATGTAAAATCCGGATACAACCAATCGAAAGAAATTCCACAAGAAGCCTTAAAAATTCTACAGGTCACCTAAGTAAATATATAATAATATAAAAAGCCTTAAAAAAGTTAACTGATTTGAATGAAAGGTTCTGCAGATTCTAATAGCGGTTCGATACCTCTTAGCTAAGTTCTACAATACGGAGTGTTATTTGCTCTAATATTCTCCCTTCTTATAATACAAATGTGTACAATAAAAATTCCTCATAACTAACTTAAACAAATCACCTCTTCATAAATATCTTTTTAATATCGACAATTATAACTATCAGATCAAAACGCTGGCTGCACATCAACAAAAGCTTACAGTGTAAGACCAGTGGTGGATGCAGCACCGGATTCAGGTAATGCTGATACTGACCACACTATAATTTTTCCTTTATTTGTTACCCCTACAAGTGTGTCACCAGTTCTATTGATATCAACGCATGTGACATGTTCAAATATATCGAGATCTAAATTTGGAAATACATCGCTGACGTCACGTCGTAAATCCCAGAAATACAATGCTCCGGAAATGTCTGATGTAATTAGAATCATATAATTTGGATGGGCAACAACACAGTTCACTGCAGATTTAACCTGAAAATATCACAGAAAAAGAAGCAAAGAAAGTTTTGTATACAACGTTTTCTCCAGTCTTTGCATACAATGTTCTCGATGTTGCATAGAAAGCACTATCACACTTCCTGAATTGCACAATTTATTTCAAACTGCCGATGTATCGCATCTTACCTGCAATCTACTTCATCGCCATAATATGAAAAGACGCAGAGATCGAAGTTCATGAGACTGTCTTCCATCAATAAAAATATAAACGAATACGTCATACTATTGACTTTTCGAATACAAATCAGAATAAAAAACTGTCATGCAAGCAAAGTTTTAGCAATACTATTATATTCTTCCTCTAATTATCTTTTTCTTTGGATTCACTCTTCAACTTTTAGAAGTGATGAACGAACTCATCTGACGTCTTTTGCACCGCCATTAACTGAAGAATGGATTAATAGACTGAATTGTGACTGAGAACCAAACACTAATCAGTCTGTGAATTTAAGTTATTTTGATATCTGAATCGCAAATTGTTTCTGAAGAAACAATTTCATGAAAACTCCCACCTAGGGTAGTAAATGGAATATTACTTACTTGAAAACTTCTTCGGCAATGTAAAGAAGTACGGAATTCCCAGATTTTTACAAAACCATCTTCACCAGCAGTGTAAAACCATCTGCAATGCTTATCGAAACCAATCACTGTCACATTTTTGTTCATTGCGTCACATGAAGTTACCAGTGTTGGAGGGGATACCTAAATAAAGTTCCAAAATCTGAGGTTTCATTCCGAAACCTGAACGCACTTTTCCTGATTTTATTCTTTTCCTAAACTCACTTCACATTTCACTTTTCCTTTATGTTCCCATCTCTTTCGATCTCTCAGCATTTCAACCATCCCTTATGCTTCTCACACAGTTGTCAACATTTAATAATTATTAAAATTAATCTCACCCCCAAATGATAGACACGCATATGTTGCCAGCCAGCAATAGCCAGATATGATCCATTTCGAGAAATATTCATTGCATTAATTTGAGAATCTTTGTGAACGAAATTTTCTCGTGCCTCACCTCTTGCAACATCCCAAAATTTAATACACTGATCATAACCAGCCGAAATCAATATTGGTTGACTTGCAGTTGGTTCTTCCAGGTCTTCTGAAAGATTTCGAAGTTTCCTGATTTGCTCTGGAAAATATTTTTTAGATTTCTAACTGCATATTTAAATAGATCTATTGCAAGTAGTACGGTTTTGAAAATTCGTCAATGAAACATTATAAAACTTTAATAACGGTAAGTATTGAATTCTCGTCAACAAAATCACTGCGTCTCGTCGAACAACTTAAATACTAGGAAGATACTTTTGCGTCTCATCTACCAGTTCTTCCGAGCAAAGTAATCTATGTATAACCACGTAATCACCCCTCAATCAGAAAGGCAGAGGTTACCCCAATTAAAAGAAATCAGAAATGCCACAGTGCCGACATGTTTGGAACTTCCATGACGTAATGTTACCACACCTCAATAAAGAATTTAAATGACAACCAAGCGCTGAATCGCTGGATCACTCAATTTAAATATCATTTACTCGACGACGAGAAAAAAGGAATCAAAAGTAGAACCCAAGGCACTGAATTCGAACACATAACATTACCTAAATAATGTGATCCCGCAACTAAACTGCTAGCGTCCATATCCAAACAAATTATTAGATAATTTTTATTTGTCGTACACTCTGCCAAATACCCAACTCTAAAAGAATTTGGGTAGTTGAACAATGTATTTTTTTAAAAAATAAATAATAAATCTTAAAAAATACGAATGGTGGGTTCCGTACGAAAATGATTTCAAAGGAAAACGAAACAATGTCGAAAATATTTATTAACGTATGATTATAATAAGAGATTGCAATGTTATACAATGAGATACGAAAATGATATTGTCTACTGTCGAACAGCAGTGGTTGTAATTCATCCCAACAGAAGTCAAAACTGCAGATGTCATTTGTTCTTACAGAGTTTGCCTTATATTAATGACATTTATGAATTATTTGAACTGTTGCAAGCAGATATTTACTGAATAATTAAAATTACACACCTGATGAAAATTTCGCATGTCAGTAAACCAATGACATGGCAGTGAAGCGCGAATGTCAGAATGTGAAAACAATACAGTGATCCTCAAGTTTGATTTGGTATTCCTGAATACAGAAAGGCTGATCACTGTAGTGACTTACAACATACGAAAAAAGAAAGCTCAAAAAATTAATGGTTCAAGTGCAATCATGAAAGATATTGAGAGTGAAATCTATGAAATTAAAAAAAGGATGAAATAAAGGCTGCGATTAACTGAAAGATATCCCATTGCAGAAAAAACCGCTTTCGGAGTTCAAGTTTTCGCACACAACAAAAGCTTTTTCACGAATTCAGTGCTCTTGCCAACAAAATGTTAATTCATTTTAAATTTGAAGATGAATTTTTTTTTTTTAACAGAGTAAACATATGTGGAATTTTTTTAACTTCTCAAGAGTACAAGTTTTTGAGTGTTCACTATTTCAGCAGTAAAACAAATTGTTAAAACCAGAAAAAAAACAAACCGCAACAATCTATGTAATCATGCAAATAAAACAAGTGAAGACATTGAAGGCAGCGTATGTGGAAAAACGAAAAAAGCAGGAATGATATGAATTGTGAAGACAAATTTACAGAAAATAGATAACCCAGCAAAGAGATTAAGTTTGAACTTTTACTAACAACTGTGTAATAAATGGAAATAAATAAAGAATTTACATGAAGTCTTGCAAAGATGAAGATAAAAACAGTTTCGGTACATACTGATGATAAAAATGGACAATCTGTATCTGAACAATATCAAGATTGGGTAATTTTATCACAGAGCTACAGGAGAAATAAGTGAATTGTTTGGGAGAGTAGCGGAACGAGGTACATTTGTAGGTTTTGTAGGTACCTTCATCGAGCTACCAGAACGCGGAAGTGGCGTCCCCTGCAAACACATAATGAATTAATTCCCTCACCTTTTTTTTTTCATTTTGAAATTCTCAAAATCTGACCTCTGATAAAACCTAAATAAAACATTCCTGAACTTCACTAAATCAGTATTTCAGTGGAATTTCAATCTTATATCCTTGAGACTTATTGTAATAAATGAGTGTTGCACACCGTTTTCTGGGAATGTTTGTAATCAAGGAAACGTTTTAAATGCTGAACCCATGCTTCACATGTTTCTGCTGATGGAGCCATTATTAGCATCTCTCGAGCATCTACTGTTTCTAGAAAAAATAACTTCACATATTTTATCATGACAATATAAGAGTCTAAAAGCAAGCAGTGAGATTGTCAAATGCGTTACAAACCAAAACTTACGTCTGCATTGTGGTATTGTTTCCACTCCAAGATGATCTCTATGGAAACGCATCCGACAACCTAAAAAGTAATAATACAGTAACACGAAAGAAGAATAAAATGAAAAGTCAGCTTTAAAAAAGAATGAATAATTCGAAAAAACGTACGCCTGCATTCGAAAGCTGGTGGAGGTCGGAGCAAATTTGATAGTGGCTTAACACAAAGATCACAATTCGTTGGCATGTGGAAAGTCAGTTCAACCAAATCATGTCGATTCCACAACGCTTTGTCTAACTTTTCCTGAACTAAGTCGTTTAATTACTTAATTACTAGTACATAAAATGCCTAGAATTTTATGTCAGCAAAGAGAAGGCAAAAAGAAAAAAAATGCATGGAAGGAAAAAAAAACAAAAAGAGCAAAAACATTGCTATCCATTTTTCGCCTTTTCATCCCCTTTAGAAAACACCATTCATTTTATAAAGCTTTTACATACAAACACAAAAAAGGGAGATGAAAACTGACCAATCAAGAAACTGTCAATCATATGATGACAAACTATTTTTGCGGCATTTAGATGCTATATGCAAATTCAAGTCTGCTTTAAACATGAATCTCGAATAGACCTCCTTCAAGGAAAGCAAGAAAATATCAGAGCAATCTTTATAATCTGGAAAAATACAAAAACTGTGCGAAATACCAACCTCACGCGAGCTTGAAAGTGAAGATAGGTCAGCTACGGAAGAACGCCGAGATGATGAATTCTCCTCAGTACCGTATAAAATCTAAAAAACTTTCGAATAAAAGTAAGAGAAATTTGTCAGGATCAAGAGAATGTACATCTAATAGATGTACATCAGAATATACATCTAGTCGTGTGATGTATATTCGAATAATCATAGCCAGAAATGATCAAGAAACAGCTACTTGACTTTCTAAAGCAAATGTCCGTGCTTTGCTCAGTCTATTTGCTTCTTTATGTTAAACCACCATATCACTGTAGTTAATTTTTACGGCAACAGAAGACAGGATTTTTTTGGTTTTTTTAAACAACTAAAAATTTTTAAGATCGTATTTAGATACAGCTCATTCGCATGAAGCTAAGATTCGCCTGCGGATGATGTTGGAATTTGTGGTTTTATGTAAGAAGTCACGCGCTGTGTCCATACGACTCTAAAAAAAGATGCACTAAGATTGGACATGTGTTCAGTCCAAACAAAGTGTCCAAAGCAGTGCAAGTTACATTGTGTATATCAGTATGCCAGGCGCCATCAAGAAAATATATCCGTTCATACACACTGTAAGAACAATCAATGATAGTTAAAATTAATAAGCTATCAATAAGATTGAATCCTGCTCCTATCTTCAATGGTTGTTTGAAAAAAAAAAAACAAATATCCGTATTTTTAAAATCATTTGAATTCTAATTATTTCATAAATACAAAAAATTATATTTATAAAGTTATAAAAAAAATAAAAAATTGTGAACATCACAAAGGGTTCCGACGTACCTGGAAAATACGCGGTAATTGATTCTCCCCAGCACATCTGACATCTGCAGCACTCACATGACGAGCATGGCATAATTTACTGAATAATATGAATTTCATGGGTAAAAATACCATAAAAAAGTACAAGAACTACAAACCATGTTTGAAACAAGCAACGGAGTAAATTGCTTAAAATGAAGAAAGTTATTTGGTAAAAACAGTCCTAGACAAAAAAGTTGCGAAAATAAAGTCAAACTCGGCTTGGATAATTTGAAAAGGCTGTCGATCACTTTGCGTCAAATAAAAAAAAAGGCCAGCAGAACTAAAAACTGCAAAACACTCTTGCCACTGTTGTCGTCTCTTTACTGTTAAACGAATTGAGACCGCGCCATCATAACGTAGCTCATTCTGAATGAACACTTTCAGTTCTCTTTTAACTTTAGTTAATTATTAATGGATAGCTTTTTCTTAAAAACAAAGCATAAAACCTAAAATTTACACAGCAATTTAAGAGTGGCGCATTCAGATTAAAAAGCTATGACAGCCCTGATGAACAAATAAATAAAAAATCATAAATAACGTAGAACGAAAAGCATTCATAGGAGTTGAGCTTACTTCGTTAATTTGCTGCATAAGGATGACAGCAGCGGTTCGAGGTTGGTCTGCATGAATTTCTTGCCTCTCGCGCTTCTTTTGCTCATTCATGGCAGTTTCCAGATGCCGGAATGTTTCAAGATCCATTCTCAGCATTTCGTTTGCTTTCTCTTCCTCAGCCAATGCGAGCTAAATCAATGATATACTAAGCTTCTGGGAGAAATAATATGATGTTCTAGAGTCAAGCTTTATCTTTTCATATAAGGATTTCTGAGCTAATTGTTGGAAGATGACCCACCTTCAACTGCTCATTTTCCTTCACTATCTGCATAATACGTTCCTCGTACTTCTGCCGCTCCATCCTTAAGTCTTTCTCCAGTTCAATTATCTTCTTTTCCCGCCTTCTTGCATCACTACGAGTCATTTTACCTTTTTTAAGAGCCTCATTTGCTTGACGCTGAGCCATCACTTCTTCCAACTTATTAATGGCCTGAAAAGAATTGGACAAGAGTGTTCTATTTGGCGAAAAAAACTGTTCAATTTGGCAAAAAATATTATTAATTTTCTCCCTCTCTTCAGTTACTATTTTCAAATTAAATAATGTTTAATAAAATAATGCGGTGGATCTGGCCACCTGAACCAAACTTTGTGGCTTACGGTAGTTTTCATCACTTTTTCATGCTCTAACTGGTTTTTCAGATCTCGTATGCTCTCTTCTGGTGAGGCACGTGACGAATCTCGTTCCAAAATGGAACGTAGTTCATTTTGAGCATCTTGCAATAATTGTTGAAGCTCTTCTTCCTAGAAAACAAGCGACTGTATAACAAGTGGAACAAATACAGCATTTAACTTCCTTCCGGACATATCTAGTGAAAAGCTTCAAACTATTTAAATGCACTTAATGGCTTGGATGTTTCTACAACAGTTTCATTAAAATTTGTGTTTATCATGTAAAGTGGGGTAAATATATATTAAACGAACTTTTTGCGAAATTAACTGTATGGCTGCATCTTTGGCTGCCAACTCCTTCTCATGTCGTTGTACAAGTTGACGGACTTCAACTTCAAGCATTGTTTTTTCTAGAAAGGCCAATTCAAAATGGAAAGTAATATATGATTTAAAAATCTTATTCAGCACTCAAAAGAATACCTTTGTCCGTAGTGGATAAATTTTCTTCTGCGATACGTCGCGCTAGTCGCTCACTTTCAAGGTGTGCAAGCATTTCACGAGTTCTTTCTTCCTCTCGTCTCCTGCAAAATTCCCACATTAAAACAGAAGAAAACTCCTCAAGTGCCACATAAATTGTTTCACGAT